AAAAAAACATGAATCGATTCTCTTGCGGACGAATCGATGCATCAATACAAAACGATTATTATTCACACCCCTACTTTTTAGGCGGTGGAATAAATTAGTACTGCTACCTTTTGTAGCAATGGTTTTTGCAGCACGTTTTACAAATTAAAGCCTTTTTACGACGTCGTCGGTGTGAAAACCAAACAGCTGCCATATATTGCTTAGCGCAGACATCTGCTGTCGCCACATTTCGTTTGCCGGTTGCTTAGTTTGCTTCTATGCAGAAAATAATCCTGTTGGAGGAGCGGTTTATGACGTGTTCAAAGTATGTGGGAAAAATAAAACTCTGTGATATAGATGCAGACGGCTTGATGTCGTCATGTGAATTTGGACTCTATGGCTTCGATAGAAACATTTGAACTATTGTGCGTGGGGAAAACACGAGATACATGGAGTATATTTGATAGATGGGCCCCTCCTGGTTCACCATCCAGATTGTCTCCACAGATCCGTAACATCCTGAAGCAGGGCATCGAGACCCCAGAGGATCAGAACGACCTGAGGAAGATGCAGCTGAGGGAGCTGGCCAGGCTGAACGGCACGCTGAGGGAGGACGATAACAGGTGTGTGTTGGGGGCGGGGCCTCAGCGTTCCCCCTCCCACATCCTGATGCTGAACAGAAATGCGTTTGTTGTAGGATCCTTCGTCCGTGGCAGAACACCGAGCCCCGCAGCATCACTAACACCACCCTGTGCACCAAGTGTGGAGGAGCCGGTCACATTTCCTCGGACTGCAAGTACACCAGGTAACGGTCGGGGGCGTCCCTCTGGTACTTTCAGCTGATCTGTTGGCGGTACGCCTGGAGCTTAACGGCGTTTTCCTGTCGGTGACAGCACCTTCACAGGCCAGAGAGCCACTGGCGGCGAGCCGCCACAGTCGGCTCAGGATAAGGCTCGGATGGATAAGGAATACCTGTCCCTCATGGCTGAGCTGGGGGAGGCGCCGGTGCCCACCTCTGGGGGGGGACACTCCAACTCCCCGAGCGGAGCTCCCCGGGCCTCTGGACCCAACAGCAACCAGCCGCCGCCGGTGAGTTTGGGACACAAACCGCTGCTGGATTCCACACAACTTTCACACATTGACCTGATCACCTTTCCCCCCCCCCCACTCTTCACCAGAACCGCCCCCCCTGGATGAGCTCCGGTCCCGCTGAGAACAGGAACTATCCGGGGATGGGGGGGCCTACAGGGCCCGGAGGCCCTCAGAGCTTCCCACCCCCCATGCCCAGCATGGGAGGGCCCCCAATGCCCCCCAACCCTAATGGCCTCCCTCCACCATGGATGCAGCCCCCTCCCCCTCCAATGGGCCAGGGACCTGGACCTCACGGACACCCCATGAGTAAGAACCGACCCGGGACCAGTTCTGGTTTCTGTAATGAGACCTTATTGATGTTGATCTGATGGGAAACGTTCAGCCTGTATAAACCATTACTCTACTGATGGAAGGAAAATATAAAAAAGAATGAAATGTTACAGAACATGCAGTTCAAAAGAAATCTCAAAGGTTTTTAGATTAATGTGCAGGCTAAACTTTTATGTATTTTTATTTATTTTCTATTTTTGTTCCAAAAAGTTAAACAATCCGCTGGAATTTTCCAAGTTTGAAGACTGTTGGAGCCATTTACATGTTTCTGGTTCATTTGGTTTGGGTTGTGGCGTTTCCATAGAGACGCTGACCTATTTTCCTCGGTGTGGAGGGAAAGCTATAAAGGTCAAAGGGCAGAAAGGGTTCGGGTGACGGAAGGTCATACGCTTTTTACCGCTACCTTTGGCACACATTAGCCTGCTTAAAGGTCTCCCCACAGCTGCTTAGCGAGCAGTGAAATAGAAGGTCTGGAAGTGAGAAATCAATGAGTAACCGCCACCAATCACAAAAGACACGATTGGTTCTTTACAAGTCAATCATGGTTGTCTGCTTGTCCCTCCCCCCTGTTCGTTTACGTTGACGCATGAACAAATTGACCCCTATGGCTGGCAGCTGGCCAGAATTATGCAGCGTTCACACTTAAAGTAGCAAAAACACGCACGCTGCTTCATTTTTGATGCTTGTAACAGTTCAGTTCTGCTGCTTTAGCTGCACAGTAGAAAAGTGGGTCTGATGCGCGGTGGGCGGAGCTACCATAGCCTTTCTCTACCTGGAACAATGGCAGCTATATTAGCTGTGATCAGCGGGTAGAAAGTAGTTAGAATCTATGTTGAAGTGAGAAAGTCCTCCTGAAAACATGGTCTGTGCAGTCAGTTCATCCAGATTACCATCCTGCATGAATGTTTTATTTCTCTGTGGGAGCCGCTCAGACCCCCACATTCCGGCGCTGCGCTGTCAC